TTCATGGGTATAGTCCCATTCTCTTTCCTATACCTGTTCAGCTTGCATGTCTATCTATATATCCACTCTTAGATTATTGATTATTGTTACTACTGTTGTTGCAGGATTATGTATGAATTAGGAACCTCTGGTGGTATAGTGCCTAAGGCATTAGACTGCTAACTAGAAGGCTGGAGGTTCAAACCCACCAACCACTCCTTGGAAGAAAGCTGGGGTAATCTACTTCTCTAGGGATACCACCTCAGAAACCCAAGATTATGTTGCTATGAGTCGGAAATGACTCAATGGCATTTTTTTTTTTTTGTCTGCTGCCTTTAACTCTTGTACTCTACCCAGTGTCTTGATATTTTCCTTTCCTTGATCATTTTGTACTGATCTCCTTACTGTATATTGCCTTCCCCTTCACCCAAGTTTAAATATGTTTACCTTCTAGTTAGTAGTTTACCCTCCCCTTTATTCCCACCTCGGGTAACCATCAAATAATATTTCTTTCTGTGTGGAAAACTTTTTTTTAACTTTTTACAATAGTGGTCTTGTACAGTATTTTTCCTAGTGTAAATGACAAATCTCACTCAGCATAATGTCTTCTAGGTTCATCCATGTTATGTTTCACAGAATCAAAGTTGTTCTTTAATGCATAGTATTCCATTCTGTGTATGTACCATAATATGCTTATCCATTTCTCCATCGATGGGCATTTAGGTTGTTTCCAGTTTTTGCTACTGTGACTGGTGCTGTGATTAACATGGGTGTGCATATATCTGCCTATGTCACAGTTCTTATTTCTCTAAGATGTATACCTACTAACGGGATTCCTGGATCATATGGTATTTCCATTTCTAGTTTTTTAAGTAGGTGTCACACCATTTTCCAGAGTGGCTGCACCATTTTACAGCCCCCTTAGTAGTGTATGAGGGCTCCAGTTTCCACATCATCACCAGAGTTCGTTGCTTTCTGTTTTTTTTATGAACTTTGCTATTAGTGCTAGGTATTGTTTGATTTCTTTTTTTAAACTGTGATTTGGGTGAACATTTACAGTGCAAATTCATTTTCCATTTAACAGTTCACACATACTTTGTTTCATGACATTAACTCTAATCCCCACAATTTAACAGCCCTCTTCCCACTTCCTCCCTGTAGTTACCTCTTCCCCTGTATCCTTCTTTCCTATGCATCCTTGCCCTGCTGTTCTCCCATGACTGATTGTTCTAAGGAGTATATCTAGCTGATGTAAATGTTCACACTATATGCCTATTGTTTGGCTGGAAGCCATGGGAGTGAGTTCAATTCCAGACCTGAATGGTAACTAGGGGCCATAGTCTCTGGGGTCTCACCAGGTTCTGTTAAGACCAGTAAACCTGGTCATTTTTTATGATTTTGAGTTTTGTTCCACACTGTTCTCCCAATCTAACCAGGATCCCCTGCACTGATCTTTTTCTGAGTGGTTGCCAGGGGCAGCCAGGTACCATCTAGTTTTTCTGCTCTCAAGGTCATATAAAGCCTGGTCTTTTTATGATTTTGAATTTTATTCTACATTTTTCTCCCACCCTACCCAGGATCTTGTACTCTGATCCATTTCTGAGTTTTGACTGTGGTAGCCAGGCACCATCTACTTCTTTTGGCTTCAGGGTCACGTAGACTGAGATTTCCATGGTCCACTAGTCCCTTGAACTAACTATTTCCAGGCATCTTTGATTTTCTTCATTCTTCATTCCAGATGAGAAGAGACCAACTGTTGCATCTTAGATGGCTGCTCATAAGCTTTTAAGACCAGTCACTTATCACCAAAGTAGGATTTAGAACAATGTTTTTTGTGTAATATGTCATGCCAGTCGAGCTTGATGTCCTCCATGACCATGGACCATAGCCCCAAGCCCCTGGGTCCAGCAACTCACTCCCTCAAGGTGTTTGGCTGTGGCTAAGAAGTTATCATTACTTTGCCCCAACAGCTCTATTACATATATAGACATTCTTACAGCACATACAAATACCAATGTAGAAATATCATCTGCCAAACTCATATGTAGTCATAGGTATATTCCCTTTTGCCTAGCCATACCTGATCATTTAGCCTGTCTACCTATGTATTCACCGACAGATTAATGTTTGTTATTACTGACAATGTAGTACCATGTACGTAAAAGTACTTACCTCTGTTGTCTGTACCTCTCATGCACCTCTCCGTTTCTTCCTTTTCTTTAGTGTTACTGTGCTGGTCACTAGCTTTTGGTATACTGTCTTTCCCTTTGCCCAAATCAATAATTGTCTCTTACCTATCTAGCAATATCCTCTCCTTTCCCCTCCATCCCTCATAACCAACAAAAAAGTTTCCTTCCATGTATAAACCTTTCTGTGACTTTTTACAAAAGTGTACTAATACAATATTTGTCCTTCCGTGACTGACTTATTTCACTCAGCATGATGTCCTCCAAGTTCATCCACATAATGAGGTGTTTCACAGATTCTTCATTATTCTTTAGTTTTGCATAGTATTCCATTGTGTATATGTACCATAGTTTGGTAATCCATTTCTCTGCTGATGGGCACTTAGATTGCTTCCATCTCTTTGCTATTATGAATAGTGCTGCGATGAACAGGGTATGCATTTATCTATTTGTGTACTGGTTCTCACTTCTTTAGGATATGTATCTAGTAATGGGATTGCTGGATCAAATGATACTTCTATTTCCAACTTTATAAGGAAGCACCATACCGTTTTCCACAGTGGTTGCATCATTTTACAGTCCCACCAGCAGTGTATGAGAGTCCCAATTTCTCCACATCCTTACTACCTTTGTTATAATCTGTGTTGTTGAACTTTGCTATTGTGGGGTGAGATGATATCTCACTGTTTTGATTTGCATCTCTTGAATGGGTAATGATCATATGCATTTCTTCATGATTTTGCTGGCCAACTGAATTTCTTCTTTGATCAAGCATCTGTTCATGTCTACTGCCCATTTTTACTTGAATTTTCTGTCTTTTTGATGTTGAGGTGTTAGAGTTGTCTATAAATTTTAGAGAAAAGTCCCTTGTCATATATGTCATTGCCTAATATTTTTCCTAATCTACAAGTTCTCTTTTTACTTGTTTGAAGAAGTCTTTTGATGTGCATAACAATTTAATTTTTATGTGGAAATTATTATATTGGTGGATGTCTTAGTGTCTATATCTTCACCACACTAATAGTTAAAAATAATAATAATAATAATTTTTAGAAGGTCCCAGTCATCTAGTTTATCTGTTGTTTGATTTCTTGACTAAGGCTTTCAAGGGCATTGAAATGACATCCTTGTAAAATGGAAATCCTTGACAACTTCAGTCTTTTCCCCATTTATGATGATGTTGTCTATTGGTCCAGTTATGAGGATTTTTTTTTTAATTGTGATTTGGGTGAAAGTTTACAGAGAAAATTCACTTTCTATACAGCAGCTCACATACACTTTGACTCATGACATTGACTACAATTTCTCACAATGCAACAGCTCCCCTCCCACTTCCTCCCCATAGTTAGCACTTCCTGTGTCCTTCCCTCCATGCACTCCTGCCCCTAAGCTGTCTCCCTGTGCATACACAGCCCTTCTATTCTCCCATGATTATTCTCTCCGAGGAGTGTATCTATCTAATATAAATGTACATCTCATATGCCTATCTTTTGTTTGGCTGGAAGCCACAGGAGTGGGTTCAATCACTTGTGAGGATTTTTATTCTATATGTTGAGGTATAATCCATACTGAAGGCTGTAGTCTTTGATCTTCATCAGTAAGTGCTTCAAAGCCTCTTTGCTTTCAGAAAACAAAGTTGTGTCATCTGCATACTGCAGGTTATTAATCAGACTTTCTCCAATTCTGATGCTGAGTTCTTCATATAGTCCAGTTTCTAAGATTATCTGTTCAGGATACAGACTGAGTAAGTATGGTGAAAGGATACAAACCTGACACAAACCTTTCCTGATTTTAAACCACACAGTATCTCTGTATTCTGTTTGAATGACTGCCTCTCGGTCTACGTACAGATTCCACATGAGCACAATTAAGTGTTCTGGAATCCTCATTTTTCACAATGTTGTCTAGAATATGTCATGATCCACACACCCTTTGCTATTTATTTATCACTACAGCTATTTATTTTTTTATTAGTCCTATCATAACTTGTTGGGAGCTCTGGTAGCGTAGTGCCTAAGGCACTTGACTGCTAACCAGAAGGCTGGTGCTTCAAATCCACCAGTCACGCCTCGGCAGGAAGGTTGGGCAATCTACTTTAGTAGTGATACCACCTCAGAAACTCAAGGAGGGGTTGCTATGAGACGGGTCCGACTCGACAGCACATAACAACAACAACATCGTAACTTGTCACTAAGAGTTTACTTGTTTTCATCTTACTAGATTATAAGTTTGCTTGTGAGGGCAGGACTATGTCTTTTTTATTTATTGGTTATCAATCCAGTGTTTAAGGAACCCTAGTGGTGCAATGGTTAAGTGTCCAGCTGCTAACAGAAAGCTTGATGGTTTGAACCCACAAGCTGTTCTGTAGGAGAAAAGACCTAGAGTTTTGCTCCTGTAAACATTTAGGCCTATGAAACCCTATGGGACAGTTCTACTCTGCCCTATAGGGTCACTATGAATGGGAATCAACTCAACAGCACCAACATCCCATGTTCTAGTACAGTACCTGGCACATAGCAAGTATTCATTATACATTTGTTGAATGAATTAGTGAATGTTAGGAGAGCTTCCAAAATTTCTGGGTGGTGTAGCTGGCTAAACACTCAACTACTAAATGAAAGACTGACAGTTTGAATCCACCTACAGGCATATTGAAAGAAAGGCCTAGAGATGAACTGCTAAAAAATCAGCAATTGAAAAGCTCATGGCATATAGTTCTACTTTGACACAAATGGGGCCATCATGAGTCTGAATTGACACAATGGTGACTGGTTGGTTAGAAGAGGCTCCCAGGTTTCAGTTTGGTCTCAGACCTCAAAGGACACAGTGGCTCACCTTGTACATAGGGTCCCATCTCTGGGTGCTCCCTGACCCGCAAGGTATAGGACTTTTTCTGATCAGATTGGTTCAAGAGATCCCGGACCCGTTCATTATAGATTTCCAGGAAACTAGAGACAAGTGAAAAAGACAGCACAATTAGATTGTGAAAAAATGGTTCAAATTCCTGAGATTATGGCCCTTTGATAAGCTTCAAATATGGACTTGAACCCATCCCTGGGGAGCACCTTTCAGCCAAACAATAGACACACCTATGAAGTAAACAATAATACACATGAGGAACATACTCCTGAGAACAACCAAGCATGTAAGACCAAAAGAGCAGCATTCACCTAAGAAGCAAGCTCAGAAGGCAGGAAGGGGCAAGAAAAGACAAATGGAAATGGAGAACCCAGGGAGGAAAGGGGAAGAGTGCCATTACATTGAGAGGATTACAATTAATGTCACAAAACAAAAAATATATAAATTGTTGAATGAAAAAAAAAAAGTTAAGTCTTGTGGGAAAAACACTAAGCCAAGAATGAAGAGGTCTTAGTTCCTGTTCTAGTTCCATCTGTGTAAATTTAAGACCTTGCTCAAGCTAGGGCCCACCTTGAATTTCTTTCTACAGATGTATAATAGTGTTTTAACCACTGGCTGTCATCACTTTATTGTTTTAGGCTTACAATATCAAAGCTGATTCAATTTTATCTTTTAAGAGGTTTTTGGCCCTTTTGCACATAGAGTACTGTGTTGTCAGTGAAGGCAAACACTGATATATGGGTGGATAGATAGGTGCATAGCCTGAACTATGAGGCATGTCTGTGCAGCAGAAAGTATGCTCATGACCATATATAGGGTTGACAGACAATGTTTCTACAAGTATATTTGTATGTTCTGTAAGAATTTCCAGGTATATAGTACAGCCGACAAAGGACAAGGTTGTGTTGTGGTAACTTCTTGGCCACAGCCAACTACCTACAGGGAGTGAGTAGTTGTATCTGTGGGCTTGGGCCACAGTCACAGGGGACATCAAGCTCAACTGACATAACATACTACCCAAAACATTGTTCCACCTCTTACTTTGGTGACTAGTGACTGGAATCTTAAAAGCTTGGAAGCAGCCATCTAGATGCAACGATGGGTCTCTCCTCATCCAGAGCAAAGAAGAATGAAGAAAACCAAAGATGCATGGAAACAATTAGTTCAAGGGCCTGGTACATCATGCGATCCTCAGCCTATATGACTATGAGACCAGAAGAACTAAATGGTGCCCAGCTACCACTGTCAACCACTCAGAGGAGGATCTATGTAGGAGATCCTGGATTTAGTGGGAGAACAATGTGGAACAAATCTCAAAAATCATAAAAAAAGAATGGACCAGGTTTGCTAGTCTGATAGAGCCTGGAGGAAACACTGAGACTATGGCCCCTACCTGCCCTTCCGGTTTGGAATTGAACCCATTCCTGTGGTTTCCAGCCAAACAAAAGACAGGCATATGAGCTGAACTTTTACATTAGGTAGATACACTCCTTGGAGAGATCAATCATGGGAGAATAGAAGGGTTGCGTATGCAGGGAGACAGCTCGGGAGGTAGGAGTACATGAGAGGGAAGGACACAGGGAAGAGGTAACTATGGGGAGGAAGTGGAACAGGAGTTGTTGCACTGTGGGAAACTGTAGTCAACATCATAAGATAAAGCATATGTGAACATGAATAGACACTTCACCAAGGAGGACATTCAAGCAGCCAACAAACATACGAAGAAAGCTCATGATCATTAGCTATTAGAGAGATGCAAATCAAAACAACAATGAGGTACCATCTTGCTCTAGCACTAGTAGCAAAGTTCAACGAGACAGAAAATAACAAATGCTGGTGAGGTTGTGGAGGGATCGGGACTCTCATACACTGCTGGTGGGACTGTAAAATGGTACAAACACTGTGGAAAGCAGTATGGTGGTTCCTTCAAAAGTTGGAATTAGAAATACTATTTGACCCAGCCATTCCATTAGTAGGTATATATCCTAAAAAAGCGAGAGCCATGACAAGAACAGATATATGCACACCTATGTTCATCACAGCCCTATTTACAATAGCCAAAAGATGGAAACAACCTAGGTGTCCAACAACTGAGGAATGGATAACCAAACTATGGTACATACACACAATGGAATACTATGCTACACTAAAGAATAATGTAGAATCTGCAAAACACTGCATAACATGGATGAACTTAGAGGACATTATGCTGAGTGAAATAAGTCAATCACAAAAGGACAAATATTGTATTAGTCCGTTATTGTAAAAGTTAAGGGAAGGTTTATATATAGAAGAAAATTTTCTTTGTTGGTTACCAGGGGTGGGAAGGGAGGGGAGAGAAGGCTGTTAGATAGATAGAGATAAATATTGATTTGGGTGAAGAGAAGGGCAATGTACCAAATGTGAGTGACCAATATGGCACCATTGAGGATGAGAAAGACATAAGAGGTACAGACAATAAATATGAACCCTTTTGCACATACAGTACTGTGTTGTCAGTGAAGGCAAACATGGGTATATGGATGAATTGATGGGTGGACAGGCTAAACGATCAGGTATGTCTATGAAATGGGGAGTGTATCCAAGAACATATATAGGGTTGGCAGACAATGGTCCTATAAGTTTATGTGAATGATCAGAATTCCCAGGTGTATAGTAGAGCTGACAAGGGGCAAGGTTGTGGTCAATGCTTGGTCACAGCCAGCTACCCAGAGGGACCGAGTAGTTGAACCTGTGGGCTTGGGACCATAGTCACAGGGGACATCAAGCTCAATGGGCATAACATACTATACAAAACATGGTTCCACCTCCTACTTTGACGAGTAATGACTGGGATCTTAAAAGCTAGCAAGCTGCCATCTAGAGGCAACGATGGGTCTCTCCTCATCCAGAGCAAAGAAGAATGAAGAAAACCAAAATTCATGGAAACAATTAGTCCTAGCAACTGGTACACCATCCGATCTGTAGCCTATACAACTATGAGACCAGAAGAACTAGATGGTGCCCAGTTACCACTGTCATCCACTTGGAAGGGGATCTATGTAGGAGATCCTGGATAGAGAGGGAGAACAATGTGGAACAAAACTCAAAATCATTTGGAGGGGAAAAAAAAAAAGGGGTGACCCAGGTTTGCTGGTCCGATAGAGCCTGGTGGAACCACTGAGACTATGGCCCCTAGCTGCCCTTCAGGTCTGGAATTGAACCCATACCTGTGGTTTCCAGCCAAACAAAAGACAGGCATATGAGTTAAACATTTACCTCAAGTAGATACACTCCTTGGAGAGAACAATCATGGGAGAAAGAAGGGCGGCTTATGAACAGGGAGACAGCTCAGGGGGCAGGAGTGTATGGAGGGATGGACACTGGGAAGAGGTAACTATGGGGAGGAAGTGGGAGGGGAGCTGTTGCATTGTAAAGTGTGGTCAATGACATGAGACAAAGTATATGTGAACTGCTGTATGGAAAGTGAATTTGCTCTGTAAATCTTCACCCAAATCACAATAAAAAAAAAAAAAAAAAAAAAAAAAAAAAAAAAAAAAAGCCTATGTGAGCTGCTGTATGGAAAGTGAATTTGCTCTGTAAACTTTCACCCAAATCACAACTAATTTTTTTTTTAAAGGAGGTTTTTTGGGTATGCTGCCAGTGGTTAAGCACTTGGCTGCTAACCAAAAGGATGATGGTTCAAATCCACCAGCTGCTCTGCAGGGGAAAGATGTAGCAATCTGCTTCTGTAAAGTTTACAGTCTTAAAAACCCTAATGGGCAATTCTACTCTGTCCTATAGGGTCACTATGAGTCAGAATCAATTCAACAGCAATGGTTTTAATGGGGCCACCAGGTTGTGCTTTAATTGGGCTGCCAAAGCACAGAATCTGAAGAGTTTATTGCTTGAAGTGATTTTCAAATGTGTTCCTTGAATGCTATTGTTCTGTGAAAGCATCACAAAGGCTAATGATGAACAATAAAGGAAGCTAAGTAAGAAGAGTAGTCCCAACCAATTTTAAGTAGGACAATTCTCATTTTAACTGTCTGTACACTGAGATTCTGTGTGAGATATGTTAACTTTACAGGTATCTACTGGCATTTCATTCCTTTAAAGAACAAAAATCAACAAAGCTACACTTCTTTGCTAAAATCAGTAAGATTCTATTAAACAAGAAAGACTTCTCACAGAAAAAGTCTTTCTCACCAGAATATGGATGCTTCCTGTGATTTTATCAATGCTATTTTCATACATGTTTTTCTCCCTAACTTTCTCATACCAGGACACAGATACCCAAGCTGTCTCTTAAAGAGTAGTGCTTCTCAGATTTCATGTGTGTGCATGTATGTGTAGATATATAAACATACACACACTAACATTGTTTTCAAATTTTTATTTTTCACAAAGTGATTAAAATGTTCTGGAATTAGATCATGGTGATGATTGTACAACTTTATAAATATACTAAAAATACTGAATTATCATTTTTAAAGGGTGAATTTTAGGATATATAACTTATACCTTGATTTAAGGGGGAAAAAACAAAATAAAGGACAAGTGAACACCAAAAAATAGGAGGGTCATGGTCTTGAATAAAAGGCAGTTGGTAATCTAACCTAAACTTATACCAATATTTTTCCTACAGATTGGTTAAAACTTTATCTTGGACTAGCCAACACTAGTCTGGGAAGTAGAATTTAGTAACTAATGCCCTGGAGAACCACTCAGTAAGAAGATATTAGAGTTTAAAAAAAAAAATAATTACACCAAAAATGAAGGAAAGGGAAACCAGACAGTCAGAGTGAGCTGGTCCACAGGAGACACCTGCTTATAAAGCCTAAAGACAGGGAATTAGGTTTTCTACAAACCAAGGACCTAAGTATATTTGTCCTCTCCCTGTACTTCAAGATATTGCTGCTGTGGCTTTTCCAATTCCTCTGGGAAACTCTGGAAGCAAAGAGAAGACAGCTGAGCACACTAGAATTTGGAGTGGAAACAGAAACATTTCAGGCCCCAGAGCTTGACAGGTTCCTACCTTACTTTTATTCGACAGGAAGAAGGCAGTGAGGAACAGTCCTCTTCCCTGATGAAGAGACCCTGCACAAATCAAAGGGTTGAGTTTCATTGAAGGAAGTGTATAAAAAAGACATACTTTGAGAGGATCCAGTCAAACAAGAATCTATACCTCACATATCCGTGGTGTCAGCCCTATGGACTCCTGCAGAAGAGAAGAAAGGAAAGCACTGCTGTTTCCTCATGGTGATGTTCTCCCTTGCCCAACACCCAGGAACTATCCTTAGCATGGAGGCTAAATCCTCAGGCACATGGGCTAATTGTTAGGTTCTTCACTTCTGGGAGTTTCACTGGAGACATCAAACTTTCCATTAAAGTACTTAGAAACCCATTCTTAAATATAGAAGAAGTCCCATAAATCTTGTTAAAGTTGACAGACTCACATTCTGTTTCTCAGTGGCAAGGATGAAACCCTGGTCAGGCAATACACAACTCAGGCTTGCTGGGGTATTAGAAGATATCTCATAACAATACTAAATCACTCACTGGGGTACCCAGCATGGTGTATGTCTTCCCAGAGCCTGTCTGCCCATAGGCAAAAAGACATATGTTGTAGCCTTTGTCAGCTCCAGACAGCACTTCAGTCCCCAAATCTTGGAACACCTGCAACAATTAAAGAAGAAAGCATGTCACTGTGGTCCTTCTTCTCACAGGAGAGTTAGAATTATATTTTAATCTAAAAAACTATTAATTATTTTAAATATACATGACTGTACATTTCCCATTTCACCAAAATCAATTTCAGCTGTGGAAAAATATAGCTAAAGAAAACTCATTTATTCAGTCATTCATTAAAACACAGGCTGTTTCCAGTTAATAATGGGATGTGTTCCTAAGTGTGTCTTTAAATCAAGTTTGTAGGTAAGTCAAATAGCTGTGTATACTGGTTATTTAGCCTTACTTTAGTGCAAGAAAAGTCTTGAAGCCTTTTCGATGATTTAAAAGCAGCATGTGCAGCAAGTGAAGGTGACTGTGATGAAGAATTTGTTGTGAGTAGGGGATGGTATAATCATTTCAAGATGAGGGCAAATTTACATGACATTAAGTGGCAAGTATGAGTTGTCCCTAAGTCAGAAGTCTGTAACCCAGAGCCAGTGCAAAAAAGACAAGGAGGCCACATGTTCTGACTTCCTCTAACCCCACAAAAGGAAGACAGAAGCACTATCAGTAACCCAAGGCCTATTCCTGCAAGGCCAGACATGCTGCCTCCCTCCAGCCCTTACACCAACCGTTCCTCCCAAAGCACCCACCACCTCTCTCCTGGGTCCGATAATTCAATGCAGTGGCCACACAGAATTCTCAGATTACGGGGTTTATTAGGGAAGTACCAGGCTACAATTCAATTTCAGGGAAAATGCTCAGTCTCTCTCCCAGCCCACAGTCTCTCTCCCAACAGTCTCTCACAGTCTTTCTCCCAACAGTGAGTGTCCCTTGGTGTCTCACTTGGCAATGCGTGTCTCTTAAGTCTCTTTCCCAGCAGCGAGTGTTTCTTTCAGGAGGGTGTGTCTCTTTCAGCAACACGTCTTCCTCAACCAGCAGTCAGAGAGAGTTCTGCCTCTAGGAGGCCTCCTTTAGAGCCTGGCAGAGTGGCCAAACTAGCCAATCATAGTATCAGAACTCTAAGCAGCTGAGAGAGAGTGGGAACCTCCCAGAACATTGTTTTGTGCCACTCCCAACAGAAATACTCCAGGTGGACAACTTTAGCAATCAGGAGCTCCTCAGTTGCTCATAGCAAATCCCACCTTGGAGTTTACAAAGACTTATGGGTAGAAAAGCCACACTAAATTTACTACACTGCAGCCAGCCTGTATTTTTTAAGCTGCCTCCTATGTGCCAAGGTCCGTAAGTGGCACAAAAGGTTTACACTCAACTGCTAACCTAAAGATTGGAGGTTAGAGCTCACCCAGCAGTCTTGCAGAAAAAAAGTCCTGGTAATCAGCTTCCATTAAGATTACAGCCAAGAAAACCCTACGGAGCAGTTTTACTCTATGGAGTAGAGTACCCTACAGAGCTGTAATACACGGGGTTGCCATGAGTTGTTATCAACTCAATGGCAACTGACAATACTATATATGCTGGGCACAACACTAGACACTGAACATATAAAAAATGATATGGTCCCTATCTTAAGGCAAAGAGACTGTAAGAGAAGGGCAAAGGCATGCAGGGAAATTAGTGAAGTAAAATGTTTTAAGTACTGACGTAGCACAAAGGAAGGGGTCAGTGGTTACCTAAAAGTGAAGAAGAGAATAAAGAATAAGTAGGTATTCAATTCACTAGGCAAATGAGGACAGGACTGTTCTTACTGAAGATACACAAAGAAAGACTCCAAGTCCCAGTCACTTAGGTGCTTGTAATATACTCCTCATTAAAATACATCTCAACATATTCACCGACATACACATAAGCCCCAAAATGTACAGTGTCCTAAAGCACCTTACTTTGGGAAACTTTAGTAATAGCTCTAAAGTATTTCCTCATTTGAATTTAAACTCTGAAAGATCTGCTAAAATAAGCTAAATGAAGTCAATATAATAAAAAGCACTGAGCCTTGGGTCATGTAAAAATGAGAACTCCAAAGTACAGTGCCCTGCGTAGGCTCTGTGTCCACTGCCTGAGAAAGCTCAAAGCTCTCCATCAGGGAAAGGAACAGGTCATAAATTTTTATCACAAAATCCTGGGATTGCTCTGCCTACTGAGTGGATTTATCAAATTCTGCAAACTGCTCCCAGAGGTATAAACTGGCCAAATAGTGGCTATATTATGGTAAATGTGGATATTTACCATGAAAGAAAGCAAGGAAGGAAAGAAGGAAAGGAGAGGGTAAAGGAGGGAGGGAAGGCAAAAAAAAAAAAAAAAAAAGACAGAAAGCAGGTAGGCCATCTATACCCATAATTCTTTTTCTTTCTCACAACATGAAAATGTTTAATATGATTAATCAAGTAAAGCTATAGAGAAATATTGCCCAGTAACATAGCATACAAATTCAGGGTCTCAAGATACCACACTAAGGATCAATTAAGCTCTTAATTAGACAGGGTTTCTTCCCTGTAGGTCACTCTTTTATATGCTCTCTCCTCAGATTAACCCTAACAGCTAGGTGGTTCTGCTGGTCATTCACTTCTGTGATGGTCAGTTTTACCGATTCAGTTTAGCCAGAAGTCCTCTGGTGAAACTCCTACACTTTGTTCAGTGCCTGTTAATCCTACTGGACTCTGTTCGGCAGATCTTGTCTCAGGAAAAAACAGCCAGGCTTATGGGAGAAGAAGGCAAAGCTTCTTAATTTCAACCAGTCTTCAACAGAAGGCCACATGGAACATGTGTATTAGCTACATCCTTGGCTGGTGTGGTGGACATTAGCCTTTTGTATTGTTGCTGCCAGTATCCAAATACTCTTCCTGCCTGGGAGGATCTCTAATTGCACCAGTCTCAATGGGAAGCAGCCCCAGCCATCAACTACAGATGCCAAATAACCCAAATACTCCCCTCGACCTCCTGGCAGCTAAAGCACTAATACATGACAGAGACCAGGCCAAGTAGATGCTCCCATATGGGACTTTGAATTTTGAAAGAATGACACAAAGGCAAAAGAATAGTTGGGAGTTCCGGTAAGATGGTGGAATAGGCAGAAAGATTGCACAGACTCTCTTCGACAAAGAAAAGGGGAACCAATTAACACAGATACAGAAGATAATCTGGACCCCTGAAATTTGAAGGGAAGGATACAGAAGTGGACTAAACTCCAACTAGCAGAAGAATTTGCATGAAAACACCAAAAAAGTAGACATACAGAGCTGTGGTCTGGCAGCGATCCTGACAGCACAGACAGCTTGGATATTGCCGAGTGGTGGCAAGACCTAAGAATTAACCTAAAAATAAACCATTAGCCAGGGACTGCACGGAGGACTGCTCTGGTGGCTGGGGAATAAAACAGGAAGCAGTGAAGAGGAAGGCATGCTGAGCTGTGAACTTTTGCCTGTCTGGAGTGCACAGTAATTTTGAATGTTTACAAGTGGTTTGACCATTTTGAATATTTAAATTGACAGCGTTCTCCCAGATTCCAGGGACTTAAGAAAAAGCTCCACTTGCCAGGAACTCCAAGGGCATTCCAGACTCAGATTATTGGAAAGGTGCAACATTCCCCTTGTTACTCTTATACCTCACACCCTTCTTGGTGAATGGAGATGTGGCCATCCTTCACTCTCACCCACCTTCTGGGCTGGCAGCAAGTCCCATCCCAGTCTGTGTGCTCGGACGGAGTCTTGGTGCCCTGCCCTGCCGTAATTTTTTTTCTTTTTTCTGTTTTTTAGTTTGTTTGTTTGTGTCTGTTTTTAAACTACTATTATTATTACTACTTTTGTCCTTTTTATTATTATTCTTTATTATTCCCCTCCCAGGTTCTAGTTTTCAGCTTTTTTTCTTTTCCCTGTTCCTGGTTGCAATTTTTTTTTTCTTTCTTGTGGTTAACCCTGTTCCTTGTTTTTCCTTTTGTGTTTTTCACATTTTTTTCTTTGTTATTCTCCTTCTCTACCTTTTTTCTCTTAGTGCCCTACCCCCAGATATTGCAGGGGTTTTTTTTTTCTTCTTCTTCTTCCCTTTAAAAAAGTTACTGTTCCTGTGTGATTAAATGGTGTATTTTTTGTCCATTTGCTTTGACTTTTTTGATGGTTATTCAACTGTTATTTTTGTCTGAGTGGAAGACAGCAATGGTCCCCATATGACACAACTACACCCACACCTCTTGCAGTTTCACTTACTGAGTGAGAGGCACCACATCCTTTTCCACCAACAGGCTAACAATAAACAACCATCAAGAAGAGCCTGACTCACCTTTGGCTGCTCTTCACGAACAGTTAACAGAGATCTAAGTACAACACTGCCAAGATGTCTCAGAGACAATAGACCATCACAGTCCACATAAAGAAGCAAGATAAAGTGGTAGAAACAAAGGAGCAGAATACAGACCCAGAACACATCCCTGAGGAAGAAGTCGCATTGGAATGCTCTGATAAGGAATTCAAAAGAATTATATTTAGATTATCTTCAAAGAATTGAGAGACAGACCAAGGAAAACACGAATAAGACCCTAAAAACCTTGGAAGAAAATACAAAAACAAATGACAAAATAAATGAAAAATTAGAAATGATTCTAAATCTACAGATAGAAATCCAGAAGATTAATACTAAATTGTCAGAAATAGATAACATATTGAAAGGGCAAAGGAGTAGAACTGATGCAATGGAAGACAGAATTAATGAGATTGAAGAAAAATACCTGAATACTTCTTTGTAAGGGGATTAATCAGATAAAAGGTCAAAACAAAATGAAGAAAGCCTAAGGTTCAGGTGGGATACCATCAAAAGGAATAACCTTTGTGTCACTGGAATTCTAGGACAGGAAGAGAAAGAGAAAACCACTGAGAAAATTGTCCAAGATTTATTGAAAGAGAACTTCCCTGATATGATGAAAGATGAGAATATATTCATTCAGGAAGTCCAATGAACCCCAAATAGGATACACCTCAAAACAAAATCACCAAGAAATAGCATCATCAAACTCACCAAAACCAAAGACAAAGACAGAATCCTAAAGGCAGAATGGG